CCTGTACATCCCTCACCATCAGCGGCCGTGCTTCAGCCACCACACCCCCAAACTATGGAACTCTCTGCCTCAATCCCTCCATCTTGCCTCCTCGTTGCCTGTTTTCAGATCACATAAAAAGAGCTTCCTCTTTGATCATGCCTATGATCACCCTCCTCTCTCCGTAGTTTGGGGTCAAGCTCTGCCACTGTTAAGCACTGTGACACACTACTCCGCGTGAAGGGCACTATATAAATACAAGTTGCTGTTGTTGCATGCAAATAGGTTTAAATGTATCAGTTGGATGCTCATAATTCAGCATTGTTTGTAACATTAACTTCAAAGTATGTATAACCATTTTGATTTATTTTAGATCCACTTAAAGAGTCTCATGTGAAGACAAGTTAATGAAACATTTAAAATTTTTACTTTTTAAATTTTTACCGCCTGTAATGTTGTACATTTAATATCATGGACCTGAATTACACAGGTACCCTGACAAAACCTTGTCTGCATTAGTGGTGCCTCTTAAAACAATTCTTTGTAGGTGTGAAAGCCTTCACTCTTTGAAGTCTTCTATGCAAAATCCTCATTAGAACATATTGCTCGGCAGGCAAGCAATCTTTGTGTTAAATAATGAGGCACGCACCACAGTAAATGTCCCACAGCACAGCATAAAATTCGATATAAAAATGTATGGAGCCAAGTCTTAGTTGCCTTTGTAACTCTGAAGATAACAATATAATTGAGCATAGTATTGCCAACTCCCATTAATCAAAGCACTCTATGCCACCAAACATATGTCCATGTAACTCAAGGACTCAGAGACGTGAACATCTTTAGATCAAAAGTGTTGTTCTTGAAAAGTGTTGAAAGCTTGTGCATATCCACTTATATTTTATCTGGTTGTAAATATATCACAGGCAACACTGCCACCTGACCGATTCTCATCGGCACAGCTGTGAAGCAGGCCATAGCCCGCTGAGCAGAGGGAGCGAGCAGGATGGTAGGGGTTTAGGAGGACGCAGAGGTAGGGGGGAGCAAGATCATGGAGGGCTTTGAAGGTGAGGACCAGGATCTTGAACTGTACCCTCTGTGTGATGGGAAGCCAGTGGAGCTGGATGAGTTCTGGATGATCTGCAGCTTATGGAGGAAGGAGTTGGGAAGACTGACGAGCAAGGAGTTTGCATAGTCATTGCATTGCTGGAATATTGCCGGGATATTGATGTGCGCAATTGGCTGCCGCGTTTAGCCCACAATTATACAGTCAATCACTTTACAATATATTCTGTGAAGCGCTTTGAGACATCTCGAAAACATGAAAAGTGCTATATCAAATGCAAAGATTATTATTGTTATGAATGCATGTATGAGGGTTTCGGTGGCCTGCGGTGTGAGACAGTGGCAGAGCCGGGTGATGTTGCGGAGGTGGGGGAAGGCACAGCGGGTCATGGCAGGGACGTGGGGTAGAAAGGATAGTTGAGGGTCAAACAAGACCCAAAGGTTCCAGACTGGCTTAGTAAGGTGGTATTGCATCAATGGATGGTGAGCTGTCAGCGCCTCAGGTGTGGAGGCGCAAACGGGAGCCAATCAGGAGAGCCTCGGTCTTGTTGACGGGATGCCTGGAAATCTCAGTTTGGTTTGGGTAGTCTTATGCACGGTGATGGGTGTCTGCGGGTGTCAGACACCCAGCTGACCAAACAAACATTTTTCAAGTTGTACAGTGGAAGCACCTGAGAAGTAAACACATTACTGGGAAAGAGAGAGAAATTAGCATTAATTAAAAAAAGAAAGACTTAGAAAAACAGGTAGTAGTAGCAGAGACACAATGTGCCGAATGACCCCTGGCCCGAAAAATTCTGTTTTTATGTTTCCAGGTTCAAAGCTGTAATCGGCCAGATTGGCCAATTGCTTTAGAATTTTCGACTCTGAAGTCTCTGAGTGGCAACTCCACTACTGCTGCGGTTGTTGTTCAACTGAATACAACACTGTATAACAGGTGATTTGTAACACTGTGCTTTGCTTTGGTTGTTGAGGTATTTGGAATGTACACAAGTGAAAGTTGCCTGGAACTCAGAGAGAATTGCAGCTGAGAACAGGGACTAGATGGTCATATAATCATGGTCAGTGAATATGCAATGTTCCTTTACAAATTCAATGTGTTGGGCTTGAAGCCAGTTCCAAGATTCTACTGTTGGAATTGACTGAACTCAATGCCGCAGTCTCTTCGGCTTGCCCCTCCCTTGCCTCCTTCAAGATCTGTCTCAAGATCCTCCTCTTCGACTGTGTCTTTGGTCACCCTCCTTCTCTCCCTGCCCCCACCCTCCCCAATCCGGAACCCCAGCTTGGGTCCGAAACACTGATTGTTCAGCGCCTTGGGACTTCCTCCCAATGTGAAAGGCACTATACAAATGTAATTTTGTTATTGTTGTTGTTGTTGCTATTTTTGTTTCTGCTGGTGATAGTGATTGATCTTGCTGACCCTGGGGGCCAAACTTTTGTGCTACTCAGTCTGAAATAGCTCTGGGGTTGGCAACAATCCAATACAAAATTACATTTGTATAGCGCCTTTCAGGAGAACGTCCCAAGGCTCTGGACAGTCAGTCAGGGATTTGCATGTCTGCAGGTGGGGTGGGGGTGGCTGTTGGGATAAGGGATGTTGGAGGGCAGGGAGGGTAGGAGGGTCTCCAAAGGCACAGTCAAAGAAGACAATGATAGTGCTGACACCTTGGTTCACAATCGTTGTGCTGAGGATGAGGGAGGAATTTTACACTCACCACAAAATTATTGGATCCAACGGTTGTCCAAAAATGTCTATGATGCCATTGTTGTTACCAATCACATTGTGGTAAATTCAGTCGTGCTTCAAAGGATATCGACTTAATTCAGAGTGAGCTAATGCAATACCTCTTGAAATGACAGAAGCACTGATTTGTGGCTTTGTGTTGAGCATTATGGATACCATCGTCTCTCACAGACTTCTCTTCTTCCTCACTATTGCACCCACCAGCAACATAGCTAAAAGCTCATCATCACCAATTGCAAAGCCTTTTTCTGAAAAATTTTATTAATTTTTCCTCAGAACTATTACAGCATTTTCCAGCTAATTCAAATTTTGTGGAACTAAGCAGAATTCATGCAGTATCATTTACTTTGATTGAAATGATCAATTATGTAACCAAGTGAAAGCAATTACACTGAGTTCATAGTGGTGATACCTAAACACAATAAAAAATAGTTGATCCAAACAAAGAATATAAAAGATATGGAACTATTTTTCTCATTACGACACTATGTTTGGGTGGGCATAAATGATAACACTCAAACTTTCTCTCGGTAATCTACGTTCTGCTGGTCACTACATCAGTAATAATGTCTACAAATTATGCAATCAATATACCTTATACTAAATCCTATGAAACGCTTTGAGACATCTTCCTGATATGAAAAGTATCAAAAGCAAGGATTACTATTATTATTCTCATAGTGGCTTTTCATTGATATGACACATTATGGTTAATTAGGGTGAGGTTGCTGAAATCACTACCTCAAATCCTCATTTTCCAGTGTAAAAAAGGATTTAAAATGCAGACCTCACATCACATTGGCTAATTAAAAAANTATTGTTACCTCTATTCCCTAAATTAGAGTTTTGTTCGCAGCAGATTAGGAATACAGCCAAGTAGATTCCTAATAATTGGAGGGAAGCATCTGCCACATTTATTTAAAAAATCAGCAGCTGGCTACATTTAGCAGCTCGACTGGATGTCTCTTATTTCCCTCTCTGCTAGTACTATTCCACATTTGATGATAAACTGTTTGGAAAACCTTTCTTGGTTTGGGGAGGAAACCGCCAGAAATTGTCACGCGCCATATTCAAAGGAATAATCTCCATGATGTGTTTCTAAGCAATTTGGGGCATTGGGTCATACATTGAAGATTGTCAGAAGGTTGGTTATATCTTTTTCAATTTGTCTTTGCTCAAAATAATGGACACAGCTCGACTAATTTTGCATCCAGTAGATTTCTTGAGACTAATTCTGCATTCTTTCTATTCCATTTCTTGACTATTCTTGACATCCCAGCGCCTTGGGACGTCCTCCCAATGTGAAAGGCACTATACAAATGCAATCTTGTTGTTGTTGTTATAGTATTCCATATTAACACTGTTATAGTTATAAATAGTTGAAAAATATGAAATTATATTTCAAAATGGGTTGACAACTTTCTATTAATTTCCGATGTTAATAGGATGGGAGTGTTTTTCTTCAACATAATTGTATGCCTTATTTTTTCTGTGTCTCTCCTTTCCTGAAGGCACTCGTCCCTGATGTGTTACACTGTGGTTCTATGTCACTGGGAAAGATGTGGTACTTTCAAGATTCATTTTTCAGATATAAAAGTATGTTATGCTGTTGTCACATTATATAGCCAAAGTCGATCCTGTTCTCATCAATATTTACACACGCACTTTCAAGCAAAAATCATTGGATTGTGATCAAGACTTGCAAATTTTCCCATCCCATAATCCAGGGGCTGAGGCTAGTCCCAGTACAATACTGAAGCTCCAGAGAGAAATGGGAGGCCAAGATCCTTAAGCTCAGATGTTACCATTTTGGACAGCCTTAAGAAGTTTTATCTGTGGTCAATTCAATGTAATAAATAGGGCACATTTAACACAGTCTTGTGTGCTATCATTTGACCTGTGCTCTTGTTGTTTGCAAGTACTATAGGGTGTGAAGAGCTTTTAGATGTTCTGTATTTTAAGTCTAAAATTAGTCCAATGCAAGCAAGAAAACAACACTGGTTACTATTCTCACAGTAGATTAACTATCCATTTTTGATATTTATATTAAATGATAAATATATTTTGCAATTTTAATACTAAACTTGTAATTTTTTAAATTTCTAAATATTAAGCAGCTTTTATTTCAAAGTGAAGACACACTACTGTAATAACGCAGTATAACACTAATAGTTTTCATAAGGATTGTGGAAAGCAAGAACATAAATATTACAAAGCAGCTGGTGGCCATTTGGGGCCTCTGAGCCTGTTTTGGTACTTGCTTCTCTATTGAAGTTACATCTCCTATCTTTATAACTGTGCTTTTGGACACCTTTGAACTCTATGACCTAAACATAAACTCTGGAATGGAATATTCTTAAAATATAGTCTCCTTCTTTTATAACTTAGTAATTTCTAAAAAAAAAACTTTTTTCCATATTTTGCATGATGGAAAAACACACATTTCTTTATACGGGCATGTATCGCTCCAGAGAAAAGATCCTCTTTACTACAAATTCCGTGGATTCTCTTCGGGCAGGCCAACTATATTCTGAAGAAAGTACTTTGGTTGGCTTAGTGTTGATGAAATATCTGTTCAAGTAACTCTCCTCAAACATAATGGCAGTGAAATCAATCTCTATGTCCTGAATTATGAACTGAGAGCAGGTAAGAGTTAACTCATACACATCATTGCATTTTCCACCATAGAGCTCTGAAGTGTAGTAATAATCACCTTCCAATCCATCAACATACGCTTTCGAAACAGAAGTTTGTTCATATGGATACACGTTCTTTGGGGCATCATAGAAGTCAGGGTGCAAAGTTGCAACAAGGTCCCCTAAAATCTCAGACCCCACATTATTCATAAATATTTGATCAACATCCATGCAGAATACATATTGCACTTCATTTTGAATGAGTTCTTTAATCACGCTACTCAAGAGAGACGTTCTAGCTTTCCATAGATGAATCCAGCCTGGCTTTTCAGCTATGTAAAATGGCTTGATTTCTCTGCCGGTCCCTAATTTCACAGAAGGGAGGACATCTAGATTATCAGTGAGGATGTAATAAGTCACAAAGTATCCAGTCATAAAATATTTTTCAGCAGATTGTACAAAGTTGTACAGGTATTGCTTATATGTTCCGATAGCAAACACTGTAAGCCCAATCGAAAAAGCTGTCGTTTTGAGCTGTTCACGATTCAGGCTTGGTTGAAAAGTTTTCTCCCATATGATAGGGGCTCCCCAATAAGTGGCATTCGGCAGAAATGTTGACTCTTCCCTTTGTGGTTGTGGCACTTTTTTCTGTTTTGGTTTAGAACTTTTCTGCTTTGAATTCTTTCTCAAATAATCTGCAAATGATAATAATACTCATGAGAACATCAAAGTGGCTGGCATGTCTCAAACTACCTTGTAAAGGTCCTTCCATCATGCTGAAGACAGAAATCTGTCAAATAGCTGATAAAGAAAATCTGAGGCTTGGGAAGGCTGTTGGAAGGCATTATCTGGCGTTTGAGTTTGCTTAGAATCCACCTACTCACTTCCAATTGGTGGAACCATTGCTCAGTGGGAATTGGACGTGTTTCTGAGCTGAGGGCAGGAAGATGTTCTCACGCATTTCATGCTGAGCTACTGACCAGGAAACTGTCAAGGAGTTCTGTAGCTCAGTGGTTAGAGTACTCGCTTTGCAAGTGAGAGACCTGAGTTCAATTCCAGGTAGGGCGAAACCTTGGGCAAGTTTCCTTACTCCACACGCCTAATAATAATCCCTCCAAAAACCAAAAACAATAATTAAATTGGTCATTTTCAATCTACGACTGTTTGTGGGACATTGATGTGCGCAATTGGCTGCTGCGTTCGCCCACAAATATACAGTCAATTCACTTTACAGTGTGTTCTGTGAAGCACTTTGGGATGTCCTCCCGATGTGAAAAGCGCTATATCAAATGCAAGGATTATTATTATTATAAGGAGTTCCTGGTCCTGCCATCCACCTAATGAAGACTCAAACCTGCACTTGTCAGATGTTAAATGACCTCATGGAAAGGGGTGGGGGTGGGGGGAGATAAGTGGGGTCTCCTTGGAGTTCAGTTGGCTCCAAAGTAATATGCTGAGATCGATAGATTTTTAAAACTAAAGGGATTAAGGGATATGGGAATAGGGCGGATAAATGGAATTAGGTTAGTAAATCAGTCACGATCGTATTAAGTGGTGTGGCAGGCTCAAGGGCCCGAATGGCCTACTCCTGCTCCTATTTCTTATGTTCTTATGTTCTTATGTTCTTATGTTCTTATGCTTGGCAGTAGAATGTCAGAATCTCGTCATCCCTCTAGTCTTGTCATCCACACTATGCCAGGGCACTGCTGATGACAGATGTGCCAGCCTGGCCCACTGGGAGGATTTGGAGGTCCAGATCAGTCACTGGGAATAGGGATTCTTACCACTCAGCTTTTGTTAACTCTGGAAGCCAAAGCCCTAACAGGTAGGGTGGTGCTATAATTCCGGAGACTATTAAGGTTAATAGGGTGTGTCGCTCCAGGGAGAAAGTGCATATTCTATTCCAAACACTGGGATTTCCATGGGATGCATGGAACTCTCATTGGATTTGGTTTCTCTTAAGCATGGTGATGGGTTTCTGCATGTGTCAGACATCCAGCTGACAAAAAATATTAATAAAAATAGCTGTAACTGTCAAGTTGATACTCATTTAAAAATAGCTGCCACTTTTAAAACTAAATTACAAATGAAAATGACTCCATCTTTATAAATATGCCCAGGGACCCATACCCCAACATCTACGGGAGAGGAGAGTAAATTGGAAGGTAAATATGTATTTAGTTGTAATCATAAAAAAGTGTAGCACAACACTATCAGTTTGCTTCATTTCTATTCAATCACATTTCTCAGTGAATTTAACATTGAATTTAAAATTATATTCAATGTTTTTTATATTAGCAACTTTATTTAGATATAGCATGAAAACAACTGAAATGAGTAGTAGGAATCCTCTAAAACAAGCAAATTACAAAAGGATCATATGGTGTTACTTACATATGATGATTAGACATGAAATCAGAAACACAAGGAGACGTCTTTTATCCATCACTAAGATTTGAAAAGAAAAAAAACAATTAAAAACGTGCACTGTGCAGAATTGATTTTCCGCTAGTTAAGCATGAGTTTGTAGAAAGATCATTTTATTTGTTAGGACTCAGTTCTTTGTCTGTTTCTAGTATAGATTGACTTGCCAGACAAAGTTTGATTGAGATTGAGAATGGGATTGAGAAAGTAAACCCAGAACAATATTTTTGAATGCATCGAGACAGCAGAATATTCTATCCACCCAACCATTGGTCTATTCCTCCGAGTCCCTCCGAGTTGCTTCCTCCCCTCCTTCAATGTATGGCAGTACAAACCTGAAAGTCAATATATAAGGTTAAATTGTGAAACACTCTAATTGTAATTATATTTGTGGCATAAATAACTTATTGTGGCATAAATAACTTATTATGAACATGTCAGAAATCCTGGTAAAATTCTTACCTCTATTTCAAACAGAGTGTTTCAAATACATGGTTTCCTTTATAAATACTGTGGACAGCAAACTATTATCTCCAATTGCTATGAAATTTGTTTTTTTCTGCTACATAATCTCAGGTTCCAGGGATACATTTCACTAAATATACACAGCCTATGGCTGGAATTGTGACAAATTGAAGGTTACAAAGTTAAGTATAAACAAAGATGATCAAATTTTTCCCAGAACACAATTCCATTGAACAAGCTGTTTGGCATGGTTAAATAAGTAGATTGTAATGTTCAATGAAATTTTACCTTTGGGGGTTAAAGAGACATTTTGCAAAGCTTTAACGACCTGGACACTTTATTTGTGGTTTTCAACCTTACTCAAGAGATTAAATAAATCGGGTAGAATCCAGAATAGGATATGTTACACTTGAAAACTTTGGAAGCAACAGGGCTTTTGGACATAAAGCTATCATGTGTTCCACACTTTCTTGTGTTAAATTCCTTTAATGTTGCAAATGTTTTTATTTTTTATTTCTTCAGCTTCACCAGGATCCTTTACCAGGATGGTACCAGGATTGAGGGACTTCAGTTATCAGGAGAGGCTAGAGAAGCTAGGATTATTCTCCTTGGAGCAGGTTTAGGAGGAGACTTAATAGAAATTTTCAAAATTATGAGGGGATTTGATAGGGTGAACAAGGAGAAACTATTTCCACTGGAGGGTGGGTTGGTAAACCAAGAAACAGAGGGGAGGTGAGGAGAAATCTTTTCATACTGCGAGTTGTTCGGATCTGGAATGCATTGTCTGAAAGGGTGGTGGAAGATGATTTGATAACTTTTAAGAGAGAAGTAGATAATTATTTGGAGAGAACAAATTTGCAGAGCTATGCAGAGAGCACAGGGGAGCGGGATTGATTTGGATAGCTCGTTTAAATGAGCCAGCACAGACACGATGGGCCGAATGGCCTCCTTCTGTGCTGTGTATTTCTATGATTCTATGATTCACCTTTGTGAAAAGAGGTAGGCAATTTGGCTTAGCATAGAACTCTTCCCTCTAATGGTTGTGAGATCAAGTCCCAAATCATGGTTTGGTATCCATGTCAAGAGTTAAATTTACAGTCCAAGCAAACACTCAAGTGCAGTACTAGCTGAATGCTATGTTGTCAGAAGTACTATTCTTTGGATGAGATATTTGTGCTATATTACTAAATCAGTTGAGTTTAGATCTGCAGAAATCATACTCAAGCCATATAATCCCTGTGACATAAGGAGGCTGCCCTGGCCCTAGAGGCAGTGCCTGAGCAGATCAATGAGCATGAACCCCGGTGTTAGAGGAATGAGTTATGAGTAACGATTTGACAAAGTAAGGTTCTTCAGTCTTGAGAGAAGATGTCTCAAGGGAAACCTTACAGAGATATATGACAACAACAAATTGCATTTATATAGCGCTCTCACATCGGGAGGATTTCCCAAGGCACTGAACAGTTGAGAGTTTGCACCTGAAGTGGGGTTTGGATTCAAGAGGGATGGGGTCAAGATGACTGACGGAAAGCTGAACAGGTCAAGGCATGGATGTGAAATGTATAACATTTTCAGTGGAATTGAAAATGTAAATCCTCAACAATAATTTAGGATACACCAAGACAATAGAACAAGGGCTTATAGATTTAGAGTTGCAAAAGACAATTTCAGGACAGATACCAGGAAATTTTTCTTCACCTAAAGGGTAGGTAATGACTCAACTAGGTTTCCAGAAAGAATTGCTGAGGCCAGTTCACTGGTCCATACGTCTCAAAGCACTTCAGAGTTTCCTGTAAAACGCAGTGACTGCGTAATGTATTCCTTTCTAAAAATTAAGATGTTTCAGAAAAAGTATTGCGTGCCATCTCCAACTTGTAAAAACTGGAAAGGTGAGTCCTGCAGCAATCTTACAATTATCTTCTATATGTCTATCTGCCATCTATCTTTCTTATGAAAATGTACTTACTTGATAAAATACTGCGAATATAGGAAGGATTGGGTGGAAACATTAAAGGATCAGTAAATCACATTCCCAAAACCTACCATGTGGAAAATTAAGACTCATCAATAACTGGATTTGGGTTGATTCTCCACAAGCTCAAATCTTAACTCTTTGCCTGCCAGGATGTCTGCAGCAATTCTGGTGTTTGAGGGCACATTGATTTTTGTAAAATTTCAGCTCATGCACTGCATCTCTGACAGAAACATTAATATTAGTGTGGCAAAGCCACGGAAACATGAGTTTGATTCCCGGCAGGGCGAAACCTTGGGCAAGTTTCCTTATTCTACACGCCTGATAATAATCCTTCAAGAAAAAAATAATAATAAATTGGTCACTTTAATCCACAACTGTTTGTGGGACACTGCTGTGCACAATTGGCTGCTGCATTTCATCCTAAAATGTACAGTCAATTCACTTTACAGTATATTCTGTGAAGCGCTTTGAGACATCTCGAAGACATGAAAAGCGCTATGTCAAATGCAAGGTTTATTAGCATTATTATTATATACACTCTACATGGCTTGCTCTTCATCATACTTATTTCTATTCTCTCTTTAACCATACTCTTTCCCTCTGATCCACATCACTTGAGTAAGGTACACTGGAGGGCATTCGGTGTCCATGAGAGCGAGAGGGTATCAAATTGGCAAGAATCCAAATGTTATAAATAGGTAACTAAATGTGGTGGCTTATATTTCAATTCATAGCCAATTATAAGCCATGTTATGTTGCATTGCATCTTGTATTGCATTATTTTGATTTGGCAAGTATAGATACTCTGCTTCTCATTTGGACCATACAAGTACATTCTCAGCACCACAAGGCTGCAGGATGTGGATTCATCCAGTTTACACTGTGGGGCAGAATCCAAAGAATTGGCAGTAAAACAAATACAACTGCTTCAGTATGACCCCCTCAGAGATGCAATGGTTTCTAAAATCATATCTTGCAACTTCATAATTCTAAGCCCACATTGCTAGCCTGTACTCTTTGTCTAGCTCCTGACCGGAGACATAATTAATGGTAACTCTACTGGAGGCAATGTGAGACATCATTTCACTTTCTGCCTCAAGAAGCAAATGTTACACCCATACAAAAAGGGGCCGACGGATAAACCCAGGAACTACAAGCCAGTCAGCCTAACATCAGTAGTGGGGAAACTTCTAGAGACGATAATCCGGGACAAAATAAATTTTCACTTAGAAAAATATGGGTTAATAAAGGACACCAACATGGATTTGTTAAAGGCAAATCATGTCTAACAAACTGATAGAGTTTTTTGATGAAGTAACGGAGAGGGTGGTTGAAGATGGTGCAGCTGCTGTAGTTTATATGGCTTTTCAAAAGGCGTTTGATAAAGTGCCTCATAAGAGACTTGTAAGCAAAATAGAAGCCCATGGTATTAGGGACAGTGGCATCATGAATACAGAACTGGCTGGGAGACAGAAAGCAGAGAGTAATGGTTAACGGTTGTTTTTCTGACTGGCGGGAAGAGTACAGTTGTGTCCCTCAGGGATCAGTATTGGAACCACTGCTGTTTTTGATCTATATGAATGACCTGGACTTGGGTATAGGGAGTACAATTTCCAAGATTGCAGATGATACTAAGCTAGGAAAAGTAGTAAACAGTGAGGAGGATAGTAGCAGACTGCAAGAGGACATAGACAGACTGGTAAGATGGGCAGACACGTGGCAGATGAAGTTTAATAATAATAATAATAATAATAATAATCCTTGCATTTGATATAGCGCTTTTCACGTCGGGAGGACGTCCCAAAGCGCTTCACAGAACACACTGTAAAGTGAATTGACTGTATATTTGTGGGCGAACGCGGCAGCCAATTGCGCACAGCAATGTCCCACAAACAGTCGTAGATTGAAAATGACCAATTTATTATTGTTTTTGTTTTTTGGAGGGATTATTATTAGGCGTGTGGAGTAAGGAAACTTGTGGAGAAATGTGGAGAATGTGGAGAAATGCAAAATGATGCATTTTGGGAGGAAGAATGAGGAGAGGCAATATAAGCTGATGGTACAATCTTAAAGGGGGAGAAAGAACAGAGAGACCTGGGGTTCAGATAAGTAAATCTGTGAAGGTGGCAGGACAGGTAGATAAAGCTGTTAAAAAAGCATACGGGATACTAGGCTTTAGGCCTCAGCTGGAGTACTGTGTTCAGTTCTAAGCACCAAATTTTAGGAAGGATGTCAAGGCCTTGGAGAGGATGCAAAGGAGATTTACCAGGATGGTACCAGGAATGAGGGACTTCAGTCATCAGGAGAGACTAGAGAAACTAGGATTATTCTCCTTGGAGCAGAGAAGGTTAAGAGGAGATTTAATAGTAGTTTTCAAAATTATAAAGGGATTCAATAGGGTGAACAGGGAGAAACTATTTCCACTGGTGGGTGGGTCGGTAACCTGAGGACAACGATATAAAAAAGTTGTTAAAAGAAACAGAGGGGAGGTGAGAAGACATTTTTTTACACAGCGAGTTGTTCGGATCTGGAATGCATTGACTGAAAGGGTGGTGGAAGTCGATTCGATAACAGCTTTTATGAGAGAGGTAGATAATTATTTGGGAAGGACAAGTTTGCAGGGCTATGGGAAGAGCGCGGGGGAGTGGGAGTGAATTGGATAGCTCTTTTCAAAGAGCCGGCACAGACACAATGGGCCGAATGGCCTCCTTCTTTGCTGTATAATTCTATGATTCTATAAGTGCTGTCTTCAGACAGAACTAATGCAGCATTCAGGCACTGATACTTGATTATTTCTAAAATGGTGGAGTTACACAACACAATGCATTTTGTTTTGTTTATGCTTTGAAATGTTTCCCTATTCCTTATTCTGATTGACAAGGCATGTCATGGACAAAATGGCCCCTGGATTTCTGCTTTGCCCTTCAAACACCCCTCTCTAATTTCAGAGAGTTGACGGAAATTGATGCAAAGTACTTCTATAATAAATATCTAAGTACATCTGCATAGAATGATGAAAATAGTGCTTTAAGACACTGCTGGACTTACTGCAACAGTGCCTATTGCTCAAGCACTTTGCTTAGAAAAAATTATAGCTGTTTGCATCCAACTGGGAATAGATCAGTGAAAAATAAAGTAAAAAAAAGTATTTGTTTTAATATGATGTTAACCGAAGATTTATTGCAATTTGTATGTTATATAACAGTTTTACATGTGTAAAAGCCCCAATAATGAATGAAATATATCCTTGAAAACAGAAAGCAAGCCAACATTCCTTTTAACAGTAAACGTCTTTAAAATGATTTCAGGCAAGCTTTTGTTTCTTCGCAGTGTGGGTATTCATTTTAATAATTTAAACTCAGGGAAAATCATAGACATAAATATGATTTGGAACCTCCAAGCCTGTTAAAATTACACCAGCAGTCTGGCAAGTAGGCCACAGTATTAATATAAGACAACGGCCAACAGAAAAAGACATGCAAAGAGGTCGTGTGAACCCGCAAACCTGCAAAGAGAAAATCTGCTGAAAGAAAGGCTGCTGAGTCTGATTCACTTGGAGTTAAAACCCTGTGTTTATGTGGTTTCTTCATGTTAGCTTCCCCTGCAGTGAGTGCGCCTGAGCAGCTACACAAGCAGCTTGCCGATATCAAACGTTCACTTTTTAAAACTTCAGTACTACTTGAAAACTACCCCACACTAACCTGGAAATCTTTTTTGTGTGGATTTAACTCAGAACATGGGATGTTGTTTCCACTCGGCCGCTGTTTCTTCGTGGAAAAGAAGTAGGTCAAGTTCTCTGCTATGGCGGGTATTTGGCTGCATGAACACATTGGAATGTGAATGGGAAGTTGGACGCTATTCAATGGGATCCAGATGTTTAAAACAGACTGCAGGTAACACTAGCTCAAAGGACTATTTGTCTCCTAAATTTAATTATGTTTCTAAAGCCGATTCTTAGTATTGTTTGTTGGATTAATTCATTAAACAATTCAATCTACATGAAACTTTTTTTCCCCCTGTTAACAATAAACAGTTCTCTTGCCTTGTTTTAACATGTATTTATTTTCTTCCTCTCTTCCAAGAGATGCCATTTCACTTGGTCTTAGCTTTATGACTATTGGCTTAAAATTTAAGATTGTGTAGAATTCGAAAAATCATAAATGCAGTTGGTTTCTCGCAGTTCTTAAAAAAGACCTGCAGGAAAATTAATTTACAAATTAATACTGAGTTCAAGAATTTTCCAAAATTCTGCACGATTCAGTTGTAAGACAGTGATTTTAAGATTTTTGGATTCAGAAGAAATACCAGAGGACTGAAAGATAGTAAATATTCCACCATTATTCAAGATAGAGGGAAAAAGCAAGTTAAGTAACTATAGACCACTGCGTTTAATATCAGTTGAGGGAATAATAGCTGCCCTGGGTTTTCTGTGCTTGTGTCATTTAACCAACAGGAGCAAACCACGATCTGCTAGTGAGAAGTCCAATGGATGTCGGTATTCAGAATAGCAAAGGGTGGAAGAGGTATCAAGCTGGTGCCACGGGATGTTCTCTTGAAAAGGACCTCGGTTTTGTCACACAGCTTGGTATGTTTTACTCAATGCCTCATTGTTTAGAATCGGGGCTTTTCGAGTCGGGAGGACAAAACCAGTATCCTGTTTATATTAGCAAATTTTAAATACCCACTTCTTGAAATAAATGTAAAATATTTCATGGACAGAAGCGTATAATTTGACGACACCCCAAAGTCTTAAATTAAATTGGAGTCGTAATACATAAAATGCTAGCACTTATGGTTTGCTGAGAGGAATGAGCTGACCCACTAGTTTGTTACAAGCCCCTCCAAGCTGTAACTCTCCTGCCTGCTCAAATACCTAGTGTTTTATCCCCCGTCCACTTGTACTCTCACACTTACAAAACAACAACAACAAAAACAGAATTACATTTATAGAGCGCCTTTCAGGTCGGGAGGACATCCCAAAATACACATTCTTACAGACAATGAGTATTCATGCCAATCAGGCCCCCTTCAGACAACAACACCCTTTAATTGAAACAGTGAGACAGTTCCTGCTACCTGTGGGGTGTAAATGACCGAAACAATACCATGGAACATTCTAATAGACATTAAGTCTCCATTCAAATGAGTATTCAATTGAGTTTGCAGGTTCCCTGGTCATTACGTCACCACTGGAACATTTTAATGTTTCATCCAAAGGATTGGGACCTGTATCATATGGATGGGTTGCACCTAAACAGGGCTGGGGCGAATGTGCTTGCAGACAGGCTATCTAATGCTGTTGGGGAGGGTTTAAACTAGTTTTGAGGGGGGAAGGGAATGCAAAAAACGAAGAGCTAGAAAATGGAGAAATAAAACAGGGGGCAGCGCAGAGCAGGTCAAGTCGGTCTTGGAGTGCATGTGCCTAAATGCACGGAGTTTAGCAAACAAGATTGGTGAGCTGCAGGCTCAAGTGGTCATAGGGAGATACGATGTAGTAGCAGTAACAGAGACTTGGCTCAAGCAAGGACAGGAATGGGATCTGAATATTCCTGGCTACAATGCATTCAGGAGAGATAGGGAAGGAAAAAAAGGAGGGGTTGTGGCAATATTAATCAAAGATACGGTTATAAACGTGGAAAGGGTCGAGGTGCTGGAGGGCCCCAAAACGGAATATATCCGGTTAGAGTTCAGGAACAAAAAAGGAGCTGTTACGCTGATAGGGGTATACTATAGACCACCAAATAGTGGAATGGAAATAGATGAGCAGATCTGCAAGCAGATCTCAGACAGATGCAAGGCCAATAGAGTCGTGATAATGGGGGACTTTAATTATCCCAACAAAGACTGGCAAAACAACAGCACAAAGGGCAAGGAGGGGGAAATATTCCTAAAATGCATACAGGACAACTTTCTTGATCAGTACGTTTCCATCCCAACAAGGAAGGAAGCAGTGCTAGATCTAGTTCTGGGGAATGAAGTAGCACAAGTGGAGCAGGTTTCAGTGGGAGAGCATCTGGGTAATAGTGATCATAACATCATTAGATTCAAAGTACATATGGAAAGAGACAAGGAACCATCTAAGGTAAAGATATTCAACTGGAAGAGGGCAAATTTCAGTGAGCTAAAAAGGAAGCTAGCCAAGGTGGACTGGAAAGAAAGATTGGCAGGTAAAACAACTGAAGAGCAGTGGGAAGTCTTCAAGGATGAGATAGTTCAGGGACAAAATAGATACATTCCCACAAAAGGGAAAAGTAGGGCTTCCAAACCTCCATGGATGACGAAAGTAATTGTATCTAAAATGCAGCAGAAAAAGGAGGCATATGACAAATGTCCAACCCAAGATACAGAAGACAACCAAATCGAATATAAGAAGTGCAGAAGAGGTTTGAAAAAGGAAATAAGAGGGGCAAAAAGATTATACAAAAAAATGTTAGCGCGTAACATTAAAGGGAATTCTAAAATATTTTACAAACATATCAAGGAAAAAAAGATTAGTCAAAGGGAGGGTGGGGCCAATTAAGGACCAAGGGAGAAATCTTATTGTGGAGGCAGAGGGCATGGCTGATGTGCTGAATGAGTACTTTGCATCTGTCTTCACAAAGAAAGTGGATGCACCAAATGCCGCAGTATCAGAGAAGAGGGTAGAGGAAATGGATAGGATAAGTATAAACAAAGAGGAAGTACTGAAAAGGTTGACTGCGCTGAAGGTAGATAAGTCGCCTGGTCCAGACGGAATGCAACCAAGGTTACTATGGGAGGCACGGGTACAAATAGTGGAGGCTTTGGCCTCAATTTTTCAATCTTCGTTGGACACAGGAGTGGTGCCAGAGGACTGGAGAGTGGCCAATATGACTCCCCTGTACAAAAAACGACAGAAGGACAAACCTGGGAACTACAGGCCAGTCAGCCTAACATCAGTAGTGAAAAAACTCCTGGAGACTATAATCCGGGACAGAATAAATCTTCACTTAGATTATGGGTTAATTAGGGACAGCCAGCACAGATTTGTTGAAGGCAAATCTTGTCTAACAAATCTAATAGAATTTTTCGATGAGGTAACGGAGAGGGTAGATAAAGGTAATGCAGTTGATGTAGTTTATATGGAGTTTCAAAAGGCATTTGACAAAGTGCCACATGAAAGACTTGTAAGAAAGATAGAAGCCCATGGTATAAAAGGGACAGTGGCAGCATGGATCCAGAACTGTTTGGAAGACAGAAACCAGAGAGTGGTGGTGAACGGCTGCTTTTTTGATTGGAGGGAAGTGTACAGTGGCGTCCCCCAGGGATCGGTATTAGGACAACTGCTCTTCTCAATATACATAAATGATCTGGACTTGGGTATAGCAAGCACCATTTCCAAGTTTGCGGACGACACAAAGTTAGGTGGTGTGGTAAACAGTGGGAAGGATAGGAGCCAACTGCAGGAAGACATAGACAGAATGGTAAAATGGGCAGACACATGGCAGATGAGTTTCAATGTGGAGAAATGTGAAGTAATGCATTTTGGTAGAAAGAATGAGGGGAGGCAATACAGGCTGGTAATACAATCTTAAGGGGGGTAAAAGAACAGAGAGACCGAAGGGTGCAGGTAAATGAATCCTTGAAGGTGGCAGGACAGGTAGATAAGGCTGTAAAAAGGGCAAATGGGATTCTAGGCTTTATAAATAGGGGCATAGAGTACAAGAGTCAGGAGGTTATGATTAACCTATATAAAACACTGGTTAGGCCTCAGTTAGAATACTGTGCCCAGTTCTGGGCACCACACTATAGGAAGGATGTTAAGGCATTGTAAAGGGTGCAGAGGAGATTTACGAGGATGGTACCAGGAATAAGGGACCTTGATTATGAGGAAGGGCTAGAGAGGCTGGGATTATTCTCATTGGAGCAGAGACGGTTACGAGGAGACCTAATAGAGGTCTTCAAAATCATGAGGGGATTTGATAGGTTGGAAAGGGAAAAACTGTTTCCACTGGTGAGTGTGTCGGTGACTTGAGGTCACAGATTCAAAATAGTCTCTAAAAGAAGCAGAGGGGAGGTGAGAAGAATTTTTTTCACGCAGCGAATTGTTCAAATCTGGAACGCATTACCTGAAAGGGTGGTCGAGGCCGATTTGATAACTACTTTTAAAAACGCGGTGGATGGGTATTTGAGGAGGACGGGTTTGCAGGGTTATAGGGAAAGGGCTGGGAAGTGGGATTGACTTTAATTGCTCTATTCAAAGAGCCGGCACAGACTCGATGGGCCGAATGGCCTCTTTTTGTTCTGTACAATTCTACAATACAATTCTATGATTCTATGATCTCTTCATAGTGCACACTTGGATTTAAGCACATTGCATTTGTCCAGACTATGTATTGAACCTGGAATTGTATTATGATTCCACACTGTGCAAAATTACTTTTCCCTGACATCAGTCTCTCGCACTGAAATAAAAGTTAATTAAATTAAGATATCAAAATAAATTTTGTTTCAGTGGATAATAAAAGGAATGAGGAAAAGCAGACAACTGTTATTGGTGGATGGAGATAATACTGTTGATCTCAGTGTGCGCTGCACTAAATGAGCTGTGAATTTCTGCTCTGCAAACTCTTAACCTATGTGTGTGGGGGAAGGGGACGCATGCAGCAGAATAGCCTGGAGAAATTTGGCAAACCAATGTTCATCCCTGTCTTATTTCTCATTTAAGAAACAACTTATAGCATTAAGCTCGGGCGGAAGGGAAGAAAGAGGAAGTCAACAGAGTCTCTTTTGGAATAAATTAGGTCCAAGATGATATCCTTGGCAATGGAATATCAG